TCCAAAATGGCTGGATTAGAAAAGGCAGCTTTCCTACTTTGCACATAAAATAGGTAACAGGAAGGTACAGCTAAAGTCCTCTTGCCTGAAACACTGTCATCCACAAGCAAACATTGTAATAATAAAAATAGTGGCTGCATGCATTGATGCTCTATGGAAGTTACCTATAAGTGTTTTTTTTTTCTTATACTTGAAATAGCTTCCTTTATTAAAAATCATTTTATTTCTGGTTTCTCCACATCTCTGGTGGGCAGCAGAAAAAAAACAGATAGGACAAGGGGGGATAGAGAGGGTGATGCAGTGGCTCACATACCCAGGTTTCATCTTGATTCCAATCCCATACACCCTGTTGTTTGAACTTGCTTCCTATCTTAGTGGTTTTCCATGGACACAGAAACTCAGCACTTTAAAGAGGTGCTCATATGGCAGGCTGCCCCCCTTCTCTCCCTTTTCTATATTTTTATTTTACTTTTAGTATAGTGGTACTTAAAATCACTGGTTCACTTAAAAAAACAATAAAATGTTTAAACTCTACTAATGTACAAATAAGCTGAAAAGTTGCATTTTATGTGTATTTTTGCCATAGCAGGTACTGTATTTCTCATGCTGGATTTCAAAAAAACAAACAAAAGGGTGATGTTTTATTGGAGTGTGACAAGTTAAGAGTAATAAGGAATTAAGTCGTCGTCATTTCATTGAAACTGAGAGATGGTGTAATACATATATAAGTTTTCTGAAGGTTTTTTTGGGCTTTTAAACGGCTTTTTTGTTTTTATTTTATTTTTATTTTTTTGAAAGATATGATTGTATTATGTGCAACTCAGTTGCTTACATTATAACTACAAAATATTTTTGGGTTCCTGGAAAAAAAAGAAAAAAGACTAATAAATGTGTTTGGCTGCTAAGCATTTAATACTGTGGTTTTCTGTCAGTTTATTTTGCCATGTGGAACGTGCTGTCTTGTGTGGGGGGGGCGAGTTTTCTGTTCTCTGCTTGCCGCCCCTCTGTAGGAGTTTGGTTACCCTTGATAAGTCCACAGTTATTTCTGTATAGAAAAAGAACCTAATTGGGGGCCTTTCTCAGCTCATGGGAGTCTTGTGTGAACAAAATATACAACTGGGTGTACCGTAGAAAACATGTCCCAGAATGGTCAGAACTGCCTGACAGTGATGAGAACTCTTGGTAGAGGTGATACCTTTTTATTAGACCAGTTAGCTATTTGCAAACAAACAAAAAAAATTGCAAGAATTTTTTTTGCAAATAGCTAGTTGGTCTAATAAAAGATATCACCTCTACCAAGAGTTCTGATTCCTTTTGCCTGTAGACCAACACGGCTACAACCTGTATCCCTGAAACAAAGCAGTGATGATGAGGCACTTGGCAAAAGAGTGAGTACTGCAGTAGCCTCAAGGAGGATTTTTAGAATGCTAAAGGCTGAGGACCAGATCACAGTGACTTCAGTGTGAAACTACATATTAGAAACATAAACACAATATGTACTATATATAGTAAATTATAGGTCATTAGGTTGATTTTAAAAGTGCTGTGTGGGGGGCTGGGGGGTGTTTTGTTTTGTTTTGTTTTTTAAACATCCTTTTAGTTTTAAAGATCCTTTGTGAAGCTCAGTCCCTCTTAAGTGCTATCACATGACAATGGAGAGCATTCTGTAGCAACACATTCCCCAGGCAATGAAATAGAAGGGGGGAGGGCAGGGGCAGAAAGTGGGTAAAAACATGCATGTTGGCACAGGTTTGCTCAGTTTCCTCTCTGGTCTCCCTGAATATGAGTGCAATGCATCTGCTAACCCTCCCACCTTCTCCCTGAAACAGAAGAATTTGATTTGCTTTTAATCCAGGAAGCCAATGCACTGCTACTGTTCTCCTTCCACATGTATGCTGCATTGCATTCAGGCTGCTCCTGCAGTGCCTCTGTTGGCATTAAAGGGACATCCACTTAGAAATAACACTTCTGAATGAAAAAGTTGCAGTTGCTTGCTCTATCCCATTGCTGTTGGTGGTTTGGTTGGCCAAATACACATCTGTGGGGAAAGAAAACTGTTTTAGTTTATTATTAAATTAAAAAGTTGGAAGTAGGAGTTAATGCTACGTGTTACTTTTCAAAGGACTGTTCACATTTCAAGTTCCACTCCCATCCCTCTAAAGGGGACCTGTGTAGCACAGAAGTATCCTCAGTTAAGGCCTCAGGGTGTTACTGGTGCAAAGGTATATATTTAACAATAACATCATGGCTCAGTGTTATCCTGGCAACATGTCCAGCTTACTCAGAGTATCTTCCTGGTTGGTCAGCTTTCAGGTATTGTAACTTCATGTTGTACCTTGGATATTTGTCATTGACTCTGTTTTGCTACGATGCCATGGTTGCTTCTACTGAAGATTCTACTGAAGACCTCCCACTGATGACCATCCTATGAACTCCAGGTAAGCCCTCAGTTTATACCTTCTCAGACTGCTGTAAACTGGCACTCCAGCCTGGGCGTTGCTACTTCAAATCTTCCTGCTGTATAGTGATGTGATGCTGTACTCAGCTGCAGAGGGGTTTCACCTAAGTTGATGGCTCTGTGCTTCTAGAGCTCCTTGGGTCTGAAGTGCCGGTTCCTTCCAGATTTAGTTGAGCCAAGGAGCAAGTTGTTGAAGCTGGGGTTGGGGGGGGATGGTCAATCTCTCCCAGCTAATATTTGGGAAGAGGAATATAAACACATAGAAAAGGGAAGCTCAAGGATATCTCCTAGCCCTGGAGTTCCGTTTCCCACTATGATAATGGCTCAAAATGTATTAACCGAATGCACTATCCTGGCCATATGCAAGTAAAGAGATTGCTGTCATTACCTGGGCATCAGAATTAACCCCCCAAATATTCTCAGCTGGCATTTTAGAGAATGATTTGTATTCAAATTTTAAACTACATTAGTTATATCTTATCCATGTACAGTACTGCAGTCTTCTAACGTTGTACACTCCTTCCCCTCTTCAAACACTGTCCTGTGCAGCAGGTAGTCCATCTGTTTATTCCATGATACAGAAGGGATCTCTCCATCCTTTTCTAAATATGTGACTCAGTCTACTGCACTGCCTGTTGCTTTTTCTAACTGGAAACTGAGTGGGGACAGGTCTCTGCACAATGATTATGAGTGACTGACCTTTCATGGCTCTGTCTATGCATCTTGCCTCCCTGTAAGGAGCCTGCTGCTGTACTGCTAGTGTGAAGTATTGTATGGGCATAAGTATTTCATTGTGGGTTTTATCCCAGGATGAGTTTTCAGCATTTTATAATTGTTGTTCTTTCTTGCTTGCTGATGTGATTTGACTTGGTCAAGAGCCATTCAAATCAAGCAGCAGATAAATGGGGGCAGTGGTATAGCATATTCCCCCCCATGCTGTTCTCAGCTCTTCTATAAAATGAAGTGTTTTTCAGGCTTGGCAATTTGAGAACATATTTCTGATTTAGTTCCAGCACTAGGGGGAGCCAGAAGGATGAAAAACAGCTCTCCCATTGGATCACATCTCAGGAAAAAACTCAAGGGAGGTGTCCAGATGAGCACACCTGAGTTTCCCCAAGGACAGATAGCAACGGCATGTAGTTGTGCCACTGCTCCTTGTCCCTGGGGAATGCCTATGCACATGTACCACAGGAGGTTGCCCTAGGTGGTGGGGTAGGGGGGCTGGGGCTAGCACCTAGGCTGTCCAGCGGCGGCAATCTGGCAGCATGGAGCCTGGCCAGTAGCTGGCTGTGGTTTTAGGTAGAGATGGGGTTTTTCCAGAAAATTTGGAACTGGAAAAATTTCCAGTGCCGTAAATTGAGCGTGATCTGATTTAACATGTTTATTTGACTTTTATATTTAGTAAACAAAACTTTAAAGAGTACTCCTGTGTTATGTCCCAATAGCCACAAATATTTTAACTGAAATATTTGATTAGGAAAAAAAATTAAATACAGCACACTTAATGTAGTTTAAATGTTACATTCAAACAAATTTAAAAGCTTTATATAAAAATTATTTTTTATTGGATTACTTGTAAAAATGTAAAGACCACACACAATAGCATGTACTTCACTTACGTTGTTTAAATTTAAGAAAAAAAACGAAGGCACTGAAAGCTGTTGATAGACTAATTTTAGCACACCCAAAGAACTGTGCATGATGTGCTGTGCTTTGGTTTTGATTTGACCTGCACAGCCAGTTAGGTGAAATCATAACTTGATTTTTGGTTTGGATCATTATGTGAGTGTGTTTACCCTCTTGTTTACAAATCAGTAAAACATGTATGTACTTTCTCTCTCACTTCCTAGGGATAATCGCCTCAAAACCGTTTATTACAACTTTGAAACTGCCAAGCTTGCCTAATATTGTATTGGCTTCCATTCATTGTTACTAATTAATTTTACGGAACAATCCAATTTTAGAAATGGAAAATTTCACATGGAAAAATAAAGCACTGGAAAATTTTTCTGGAAAATTTGAGTTTTGGAACTGAACACTTTTGGTTTTGGGCAGCGCACACTGCTGCCCTGCTTTTAGTGTAAGATCCTACCCAAGAAAATTAGCAGTGTGGGGAATGGCTGCATGTGGAACAGGCATGTATCCGGGCAGGGGCCCCTTACAACCCGTGTGTATGGTTTTTTGTGTCATTTCTCCCTGCCTGGAGCTGCTTCTCTTGACACCTTGGAGTCCAGGTGCCCTGAGAACAGCGATTATGCCCTTTGGCCCTGCAAGAAGCCAACTCAGTGGCCAAGGGACAGGGGCTGAATGTGGCCTTGCACAGTGGGTAAATGGTTTGGTTGAATGGGGGTTGGACTAGTATCGCTGAGGAGGTTCATAACAGCAGCGCTATTCATCGTTGCACGAAGCACTCCGGGAGCCGCCTCCCCAAGGGCCCTGCCGGTTCTGCGGCCTCCCGCCAGCAGAGGGCGCTGCGGCCTGGCGCCCGCCCGCTTCGCCTCGCCCCGCCCTCCTGCCGGATTCGCGCTCGCGGAGGGGCGGGGCGGGGCGTGTCCCCCCCGCCCCCAGCCGTGCTTCACGACAGTGGGCAGGGGAGACCTAGCCGCCGACAGTGCCGCGCTCCAGTGGCGTGTGCTACCTACCCGGCAGTGGCTGCGCCATGGCGACAGCGGGGGGGCCCGGCGAGGAGGACGCCTTCGCGCGCTACCGCTCCCCGCTGGTGTCACGCTACGCCAGCCCCGAGATGGGCTTCAACTTCAGCGAGAGGAAGAAGTTCGGCACCTGGCGGCGGCTCTGGCTCTACCTGGCCCAGGCCGAAAAGGTACCGAGACCCCGCCCCACCCCGCAGCCCACCAGGTGCGTCTGCCTGCCCGCCCCGGCCCGGCGGATGGAGCTCATCGCTGATTGGCGGTGGCTGCAGCGCGGGAGCCTGGAACGAACCCCGCCCCCCCAGGTCCAGCTGGGCAGGGCCCCTCAGGGTGGGGTGCCCGGGCCCTGCCCGTGCCAGCGCGGCCTAGGGCCATCCATGCACTCGTGCCCTGCACGAGCCGTGCCATGTGCACACCGCCGCCATGCACGCTGCGTTCTCTAGGCTGACGCTGGGGCAGAGGGGTTCTGCCCATCTCCTGGCACAAGGGGTCTGGGAGCCCCGCAGATCTAGGGCAGGAGACCAGCCCGCATTTGCTTTTGTGTGGTTGAGGGCTCTGCTCTGGTTGGTGGCTTGAGGCTGGCAGCTGACACTGTTAGTCCCTAAGGGCGCCTGTGCCCCCTGCCAGACAGCACGGCCAACTCCCTTCTGTGTACCTGGCACCATCCTTGCTCCTTCTGTAGCAGGGTGAGGTCGCTGGTGCCTCCCCCGTGGTCTGCAGCCCAAGCCAAGCCAGACCAGTTTGGTGGTACAATAGCAAGCAGGAAAAAAATAGTGATGGGAGAAGCCACCACCTTGGGGGTTTTTTTGCTTGTGGACAGAGGCTTGTAAAAAGCGCTTCAGACTCAGGATTTGTGGTTTTTAAGCACTTCTCATTTGTAGCACATTGGTAACCTACAGACTGCCTTTAGCTGCAGGGCAGTGTCACTGCAAAGCACTTCAGTCAGCCCTGCTTCATCCAGGCCAGTTCATAGCGCACAGCGCTGCAGCACTATCTGCCCACACCTTTTGGTTTTTTTAGCACTTTAAAGGTGTTTAAAATACTGTAAATGTTATACTAGTCCATGCTTATAAAGAAGTTTAAAAAAAAAAAAAAAAGGGGCTCAGGCACAAGTTTATACAATCCTTTGCTGGTCCTCTAATGCATCTTGTTGCTTCTTCAGCAAAAGGAGGTAATGACTGCTACCAAGCAGTACCTTTTGGTCACATCCCTGCCCTCTGTACTTTCCACTCCCCTATTAAATGTTTTGTAATGCTAAAGTAAACAGTTTTTCTGGGATGAAGAAGGAGTTTTATCATCTGAGCAAACAGTAATGCCCCCAGTAGTGGGGTCCTAACAACTGATGTGCCTCACCTAAAATATTCTGATGTTCAAAGTTCATTGGAAACCTGTGCTAAAGGCAGCTTTTGGTAACCCTCAGCCCCTCACACCTGTGCAGTCCATATCTCTGGGACTGAACTAATTTGGGTCAAAATGAACAGGACACTGATCACAAAAATGCTTGCTGCACCTTTCTCACATTTACACACACTTGCGCGTGCACACAGAGCAGTTCAGTAAAACTGAAAGAACCAGTTGTCAGTCCAAGAAGTTGGGGATCTCTTCTTGTATGTCCAAGAAGTTAGACACTGGAAACAGAGGGGAAAATGTGCAATAAATCTTCAAGCAGCTATATGGTGAAGTGGCTGAACAGGACAGAATGCACTGAACAGATTTGCAAAGAGCCTTGACACATTTGCATTGCTAGTTGACAACTCATTGCTGCACAAATTTTTCCATAACGTGTCAAGACAGCACTTGACCCCAATGGCTGTCCTTATCATGCATGGTTATAGTGATTGTCCAACTCTGCAGGATGTATTAACACTGTACAGGAGAATGAAGAAGCAATGTGTGGGCAGGGGAACGGGGCCATCATCACATCCTTTGTGGCCCATGGGATTGTGCCACTGTTTGTTGCCTCCTCAGCCACTGAGGAGAGGGTGCTGACACCACATGTGAAATAGTGCAGTTATATAGGTGTGTTTAGTGAACTTTTTTAGCCTAAAGTGCCAACTTAGTGTTGTTAATATTGATAAAAGGCAGAAGAGATCAGTGTAACAAGTGTTGAAGTATACCTTGCTCTAGTCTGTTATTACTGTATGAACACTGCCTTCAAGGTATGAATTTTTGCAGCTGAGACTAAACAAACTCCAGAATTTTAGCATATTTTGCACCTGTGTAGAGCTTTATATTTTCAAGACAGTACAAATACTAATTCCTACATCCCTTTGCTGCAGTAGGTAACTATCACCATATTCACTGCTGGAGAATAAAATAGGTTAAAATGATTTGCCCAAGATTGGATAGCAAGACGGTGACTGAGTTGAGATGAAATCTCCAGCCTCTCTGACTACCAAACCTGGATTTAGGAGTTTCTCTCCTCCTGTTTGCACCTGTCCTCAGCCTAAACTGTTTCTGGAGAGTAAGGCCCCCTGCCTTTGTGACATCTTGAGTTCTCTGGCCCCACCGAGAAAAGGGAAACTTATTTTTATCTGTATGCTCACATTCCTGAGGAATTACAGCCCTCTGATATTAGCCCTAGACTGGAATAGGTGGAATCGCTCTCACTCAGCACCTGTTAGCTCTGTCAGTGTTCAGTCACAAGTGGTTAGACGCAACTACAACCAGCTTCCCGTGCCTTCTATCATGAAGTGCAGTGAGGTCCTGAACAGGAAACAGATTATGGGAGGAAGGAGTGTTGGGACTGTTCACCCCATTACTTGTCCCCAGCTTGTTTCAAGCTATTTCTGGATCAGAAGGCTTAGCCAGTTTTATAACTTAGATGCAGGAAATTAAGAGATCCTTGACTGTATCCTCCTAGTACTAAAGCTTTTGGTCTTGTGAAAGTTAGTGCTAGACATTAGTGAAAGGCATTAATGTCAACCCTTCCCTTGGAAGAAATTTGGCAGTAAATAACCACTAGCATGAATTGCTGTACCAGCTCAGACCAGAAATCCATCATATCAATATTATGGATCTCACAGTGAACAATACCAGTGACTTCATTAGTTTTGAATTCTCTCAATTTCAGTGTCATTGAATGTTCCTTGCTCTTGCATCGAGTGAAAGGGTTGAAAGAAGCACCTGACTTGCCTTCCCAATGCCATTCTGGGTTCTTGGTACTTTTGTCTTGTTCCGCTCCCCAGTTGAACTGTGTCCATCTTTTCACTCATCATGAGACAGACTGATTATTCTGGCTGCCTGTTGCTAATACTTCTAATGCCCTTTAGGAGCAAACATGTCCAGGACTGAGCTCAGTCATAGTTTCTTGCAGTATTACATGAGAGATGCAGACAAGCTTTGGAGGAAGGAGGTATCTACAAATAGAAAATAAGGGCTCAGTGGATCGTGGCACTGGAGTTTTGGACATCTGACCTGTCTTTCTAGTTTTATTAGATGCAGTAGTTTGAGGGACATTTCAGTTATGCTGTCATCCTCTTCCCTTTCCATCTCCCATGACCCCATCTGTAGGGGAGAGAGAGGTATCATGTGATGTATGTGAATGTGCAACATCAGTGTTTAACTTGGCTCCCCTTTATCTGATGTGATTTTCACTAGGAACTGATCCCTTTTCCACAGGTTTGATTCTGTCCTACCTGTGGGATTGCCACTGCTTTTGTGCCTTGACTAAGTTTGCAGGGTGGGCTGGGTACTTGTGAACAAAAATGACTGTTAGCTCTAACTGTTCTAGGTGTCCTACCCCCCATAAACACCTTTCCCAGTAGAGTAAACCAAGCTCTTGAATACTGGCTTGTTATCCCAGTTTCACATTTTCCCATAGAATTATCTGTGCCCTGCACTGTAGTGTTTTGAGGTATTGTGTCTTGGAGATGGCCAAGTGCCTTCATCATTTTGGTCTGGGCATTCAAGGCTTTTGCTTCCTGAAGCATGCTAGTTTTGGTTATCTTTTTTTTTTTTTTTTTTTTTTTTTTTTTTTTTTTTTTTTTTTTGTTTTTTTTTTTATATCGCCCTTTTTTTTTTTTTTTTTTTTTTTGGCATATTAGCTGATAGGCTCCTTCTGTCTCACCTGCTCTCTTCTCTTCTTTGAGTCCTACACGTTCAAAAGACTTCACTACTTGCCTTGGAACGAACTAGGTTTTAACATGCTATATACCTTTGAAGTAGTCTGACTGGTTGGTAGGGATTGTTGGGATTTAAAAACAAATATTTGTGTGAAAAATGTTACATTAGTGCCGTGCTAATCATGAGAATTTTGATTGATAGATTGGTTGATTTAAATATGTAAGGCTTCTACAGCCAAGTTGTGGCTGTCAATTTTGCAAGTAAGGTATTGCGTATAACAGGGTAGAAAATTAACAGTGTGATGTTTCCCAATCCATGATGCATGACTTAAATGGGGGGTGGCAAGGTCTCATACCCTCTGCTTTATGCCATGGTTTGCAAAACGCAAATGTTTAACAAAATCTATAGAGCAAGAGCCAGCAGGAGGCACTGAAAGAAAGAAGTAGTTCCTTTTTCCTTCCTTCTGTGCTTCAGCTGCTGCCCAGCCACAGATCCATCTCTACCCTGTGGCTGCGACCCATCACAACCCTTTTTTCCCTCTGCTTCATCCGAAGTAAAATATACATCCACAAAAGTGTCACCTAGTACCCTTGTAGCAGAAAGCCCCCTTTTCCTCTTGCCTGCATTTGCTCTCCCCTCTTTGGATATGTTTCTCTTTTTCCCCCTTTTCTTCCTTCCTCTCTCTTTCACTTTAAGATAAGGAATTGTGTTTTGAAATTTGTGTGTGTGCATTTTGTATCTCCCCTTGTATTTTGGTATTTTTATCTATTTGTGTGCCATGGCATTTGTAGCTTATATTTTATATTCCTCATCTTTCAACTTTGAACTAAATGTGTTTTAGTAAGTTATACATTGTAACAATGTTAACAAGGGTAGGAATCAAACTGTCCTTCACTGTATCAGGCTGGCCCCTGAAAGAGGGAGTGAATCAGTGACTGAATGTGTAACAAGTTAGCACACAGCAATTAACACCTGGGAAGCTGCAGATCAACCAAGGGAAGAACTCAATAGAAGACAATGTAACAACCGGGAAATCTCTCTCACTGATCAAGGGCTAGAAGCCCTGGCCTGAGTTAATCAACGCCAGAGACCAACTTTTGGGCTGAATATCTCCAGATCGACCACTCCCAGAGCCCTATTCTAAATTCATCAGCGGACTCCCAAACCTGCACGTACATGCGGATGACCCCTGGGGCTGACCGATGCTGTCCAGTAGCCACTGGGGGGGGGAAGTCCCACGAGGGTCAATGACCCCTGGATTGGGCAAACCTGAAAACTGGGGAGTCACCAAAGTCTGCCAGGGACAGATAAAAGGCAGTGAAAAGTGACCCTCAGTGGCGCCCTCTTGATCTCCAACTCAATCAGACCTGTCCAGCCAGAAGGACCAGCCAGCGACCCCCTTCTGGAAGATAACACCACACTGAAAGAAGCCTCAACGACAGACTCCAGCACTTGTAGGATAGGTATACCTGACTCTGTAGCCTGCTACTGTGTGTGTGTATATGTGTGCATGTGCGTGTGTGGGGGGGACGGGGACCAGCCCCAAGGTTTATGATTACAGTGTTTCAATCCGCCTAATAAACTAGAATTTTAAGGATCCCGAGTTGGATATTTGTAGCCAACACCTTCAGCTCGTCTCAACACCCCTGCCCAATCCAAAGCCAAATGTGAGATCCTGCTGTCACTGCAGGGTCAGTGTTGTTTGTTCCCTCAAAAGGCCCTGGGATTTAGGCAAGTCATAGGGATGTCCCATCAAGTAATTGCAGATGTGGCATTAGTCACAGATTGGAAAGGTTGAAAAACACTGAAATAAAGTTACAGTGTATGACTAGGGGGAACTGAGTTATTGTTGGTCTCAAAACCTTAGCCTTTGAATATCCTGCCTAGAATGGAAGCACTGATGAATCAGGGAAGACATTTTCTTGACCTGGATAATTTGCACAAGTTTGGAATTGTACAAGACTATATCAGGGCTGTCCAAAGAGGCTGGGGGCTATGTGCTCCATGGACTGTACCAGGAGGGACCTCTCACCATGGGGCAGCACTAGCAGGGGTCATGGGACCTCCAGGCTGCATGTCCTGCATGCATGTGGGCAGGCACCCTGCATCCTACTGCACCTTGCACATGGGTGTGCACTCCTTTGTGCGGCACCCTGACTTACCTTCAGCTCTATTGCACGGCACCATGGTGCTCTGCCCCCTGGGTGGGAGCCCAGGGGCTGCATGCTAACCCCCTGTGGGCTGCCACTTAGATGGCCCGAACTACATAACTGTGTTGACAAAAAATAAGCAGCACGTTATTAAGATACTGTCACCTCACACTATAGGAGATGTACCTGAAAGCAATACTTAGTTATTTATGCACATGGGCAAATACTTCATGAAATGTAGAGGTTTAATTTTAAGGAATGTTGTTAACTTCCCAAGTAGCTAGCCTTGTGGTTTTCATGTTTTTCTATTTTATTTTTTCCAAGCAACACGAGCATTTAACTGCTTTTGTTATTCAGTGTGAACAATAAAAAATACTGTCAAAGGCATGAAGAAAACACACCAAGAAATACAGCATTATTTTTTCTGTAATAGCTTTTAAACTATAGTGGTCTAAGGTGCAAGTAATAATATTAGGTAAAAATGTTTAGATAGTAATTTTAAGTCTGTATCCCTCTAAAGTATTACTGCTAGGTTCCCCCCCC